TATCTACTCAGTGCTCAGGATCCTGGAGGTCCCACTCAGCCCAAGAGAAACTCAGAAATGATTTACACACCGCAGAGGCCAGAAAGTCATTGTGTCTCAAAGCAGCCTCTACCAGGCAGGCAGGTGGCCCACCTTGGCTTCCCCGGCTCTGGCTCTGTCTGACACCACGCATGAAGTTAACATGAGTTATCTTACTAGCTCCAGGCTGTTCTGTTCCCCATATGTCCCCTCTTCTCCAGGCCAAGGAAACCGTGAACACCTTACATCTGACCATAGCACTCTTCTGCTCAAAGACCTGCACTAGCTCCCTAATGCCCCAACATCTGGCTGCACAGGGGACACTCAAGACCCTTCCTAAAGGGTCTTGCATCTGTATTCTCTCCTTAGCTCCCTGCTTCAGCCATATGCATCTCTCTGTTCTCAGAGGGGGTCTCTAATCCTGTCAGTGTTGACTCACAGGGAGATAAAAATCTCAGCTCTTAGAAAGCCTTCCCCTACCAGAGACCCACCTCTGAGTCCCTTCTTCTGGCCCTCAGTGGTGAGCCAGCCCCTCCCTGCTCCTCAGACCTCTCCAGACCACCTCATTTGCACTCTAGTTTCTCCTTGCTCCCTCACTCCCCCCCCCCCCACACCGAACTCAGGAAAACCACTACCATTTGTTCAGCAAGGTATCCCCACGGTGTGTGTGTGGGATAAGCAGTCCCTGGCTGGGCGGGCACAGGGGAGGACTCCCTGGGGGAAGCCTTGAAGCCCCATTATGATCTCTGCTCCCCAGTCTCTGCTCCCTCCACAGTGCTCCAAGGAGCACAGGACAGAGTCAGGAAGTCAGTTGTTCCTTGGCTTCCATTTCCTCATGTGAAACGGAGACCGGGAGACCGGTGGACCTGGGTCACCATCTCTGACATTCCCCTGTCTCAGATTCCTTCCCTGGCTACTAATCATACTTTGCTAAGTGTCTGTCAGGCACCTTACCAGAAGCGGAAAATGTGATTGCCAAGCCCAGGGGGGATTTTTGTTTTATCTGTGATACTGACCAATGCCTTTAAATACACAAAGGCCACTCCATTCTGCAGTCTCTGTCCCTCTGCCCTCCAAGAGGGCGGGAAGTCAAAGCCAGTGTAAGAAAGGGAAAACTGGGAGAGCAGAGGAATGGAGCAAACAAGAGGTGACAAGGGTCACACAAAGGGAACCTTTTCTCACCTCACTGCCCCATTCCAGAGGGCATACATGAGCCCATTCCTTCCTACCCTCCGATTTACCTACACCCGCCCAGTCCCCCGCCACACAGGGTGAGACCGGAACTTACTCTTGAAGGCGGTACAGTTGACTGACACCATTCAGTCTCTAGATCTGCACGCAAACTCATCTGAATGTAGGAAAACTTGGGGTGCTGGGAGATGTGGCTTGGCTCAGGGGGACCCTTGTGGGAAGATTCCAAACAGTCAGCCACCTTCTTTGCTGGCCGGGTATGAGCTGATGACCCTGGTGGAGCCAGGTGCATACACCTTCACCTCCATCCCCCTCTACTCCATCCTTGGCTCTCCACAAGCTCCCCCTAAGACTATCCCTTTACAACTGCCCTTTCCATCGAAGGATCCAGACACAAATTGTACTTTAAATTCAATATTGGTCATTAATATTTCATGATTACAAAACGTTAAAGATAATGTCAGTGGAAGGCGCGTCTGCATGGGCAGGATGGATGACTCAGAGGTTCGGGAGAGAGGAGCCAGCATACTAAGTGGGCCCCAGCCTTTGAGGTAATCCAGCGTGACAGGCGACTGCTCTGGCTGAGGGCGACATCCTCCAAGGGGCTCACAGAGCGCTGCAGCGTGTATAAATATTTCCCCTCTGATCCTTGTCACCTCTTGTTTGTTCTGCTTGGGAGCAGGTGGGGCTCTGGGACCCCTTGCTCATCCCCGAGAGAGCCATGAGACCACTTCAGCAGCAGGACACGGGACCTGAGGGTGGAGCCGGTGGGGTGGCTCTGTTCCTGGGGCTCAGGGAGACTTCCGGTGTGGAGGATTGGATCACCCTGGGCTTGCATGGACTCCTTCTGTGGTTTGGGGCCTTAGTCTCCTCATTTGTGAAATAGATATGGTAACTCTGTCTTCATTAGAGATGGCTTGAAGGTGGTGCGGGTATGGGGTTATTTGCTACAGATTTCGTGTGTGTGTGTGTGTGTGTGTGTGTGTGTGTGTGTGTCTTGCTGGAGGTTGACATCAATGTCTGCTCTATGTCTCTCTATATGTTAAGGCAGGGTCTCTCACCTGAACCCAGAGTTGGCCAGTTTGTCTAGTCTAGCTGGCCAGCTTGCTTTGGAGATTCCTTGTCTCTTCCTCCTGAGAAATGGGTTAGAGGTGAACTGCCATACTTGCCTGGCATTTATGTTGGCACTGGAGATTTGAACTCTGGTTCTTGGGTTTGCATAGCAAGCACTCTTCCCGTGGAGCCATCTCTCTAGTTTCTTACTTTATTTTTTATTACATGTATGTATGTATGTATGTATGTGCGAACACATGCCATGGCACACCAGTGTGGTCAGAGGACAATTTGCAGGAGTTGGTTCTCACCTTCTACCGTGTGGGTCCAGGGACTGAGCTCAGGCTGTCAGGCTCCCAGGTAAGGGTCTTACCCACTGAGCCACGTTGCCAGCCTTTTATTTTGAAACAGGATCTACAGTTAAGCCGAGGTTTACCATCTAGATTGGCTGGTCAGTAACCCCAGAAATTTGCCTCTCCACCTTCTGGTGTTGGGTTTATGCCATCATGTTCACCTCAATGTGGAAACTGGGACTCAGAGCTCAGCAGGTCCTTTGTACACAGAGCTATCTCCCCAGCCCCAGACCGAGGAAGTGTAACAGGGCACAGGACAGGGAGAGCTGAGCTCTGGAGGAGGCCAGGCCGGGCTGGGAATTTGCACGGATTTCACCTGAGTCCGTTCCCTCATCCACACACTGGGGCCAGCTGTAGAGCCAACACTTCTTAGACATGGAGATCCAGTGACTTCATCACTGTGAAGGGACTGGCTTCCAGTGGGCGGAAAGCTAAGTGCACAGTCAAGATGGTCAGGGAAGCCTTGAATGAAGGCTTACTAATGCTGAGTGGTTTCTCTGCACTAAGATCTGAAGTGTGCCATTTGTTAGTAGAGAGATGATGAGTGGGCAGGTACTGTGGATTGAAGCTCCGAGGGGTGCCTCAAGCCAGACTGGTAGCCAACTTCTCTTTTCAGAGTCTCACCCCCCCCATCCCCGTGGTCAGCTGGTGGGATGTAGTGGGTCTCCTGAAGGCAGAGAGAGAAGCCACACAGCCCACAGCCACAGGTGCCAGCCAGATGAGCATGTAGAGGGAGCCCCCCCCCCCCCCCCCCCGGTGAGAGCGCTGGGCTCCACCCAAGGAGGGACTTGCTAGTGGCAGGATGTCAGACAGGTGACAATCTAGGGCCAAGGGAGGAGGCACCTCTGTCTGCCTGTCAGGGTCAGGCCTGTGTTCCCCATGAGCCTCAGTGACAGCTGCCTTGGAGCAGGTGAGGGAGGCTTAGAAGGTGGAGGAACTCTCCCCCCCTCCAGGTCCAGCGCTACTTCCTCTCCAGCCACCTTTGTTCTCTCTTCCAAGCGGAGGAGGAGTGGATTCAAAGGCTCCCAGACGCCCGCACTGAGGGCTGAGCTGGCTTTGTGTTTTCCTTTTAAACTGCAGTTAAAAGAGACTAAGGGAACTTCAGCCTAGGGACTTCCTCGGCCCTGCCACGGGCCAGCGGGGCCTCCGAAGTGGGAGGAGGAAGGGAAGACGGGCACGGGGAGGAGGGGAAGGCCAGCAGGAGGGCTCAGGGACAGGGGTGGGTTTGAGCTGCCCGAAGGCTGAGGCTCAAACGTCTCCTGAATCACTCAAGATGGCTTTCTGTCAGTTTTCAGAGGTGACAGACAACACGGGAGAGCAGGTGGGAGCAGAAGAGGCCTGGCTGGCACTGGGGCTCTGCCCACTCCTGGTGCCCCGTGAGTCCCCTCGCTCTGCTTCCCACTTCCATAGCCTTACTTCCGCGGACTCCTATTTCAGGGCCCTCCTTTCTTCTCCCAGCTCAACTGCCAGCCACCCAGAGACTCCAAGCTAGGCCCCCACTTCCAGAAACTTCTCCCCAGAAGAACCCAATTCCTGTAGTGTGTTTGACATCTGTACCCTTAAGCCTTTGACCCCGCTCCATCAGCACCCTGGGGCTGCATCTTATTCTCATTCCCACTCTTCCTGGCCCAGGCTGGGCTATCACCCTTCCCCCAACACCGTAGCTTCTGACCAAGCCCCCCACTTCCTCTCAACCCCTTGTCTGTTCCAGACAGCCCTCTAACGCTCAAAACCCTCCCCATTCCAACCTCAGGATGAGTAGAGCCCACCAGGGGCGAACCACTCTGCCCTGCTCCAACTGTTTTGGCCCCATGCAGCTCCTCGAACACACCGGTCAGCTGCCACCCACCCAGGAGCCTTTGGGCAGTCTCTTCCTCCTGCCAGAGCTGTCTCCCCTAGGGAAGGGCATGGTGCCCTGGTCATCCTGGGGTCTTATGAACCGATCTTCCTGGAGTATTCTTTGCACCAGGGAAACACGGCCACTTTTGTTTAGTTTCCTTTTCTTACTGCTCCTTTGAACCATGTCACATGGCCTGATGTACTAAGCACACCTTTTTTTCAGCTTGTTGCTGGCCTCCTATGAAGGCAGATACCATCCCTCCTTTCTAAGACGCTAGACTGAAGCTTGGCTTGTAGTCGAGGTTCAGTGAACGAGGGAAGAAAAGTTGGCCTCTATACTTGTCCTTTCATGTGGGACTTAGATCTCCCTTCTGGAGATCTGATTTAGCCCACACCTATAGTAGGAACTTTGCCTAGTTTCTTATTCTCTGCCCCGCCCCAACCCTTGGCCCCTCCCCCACGTGCCTTGACTGACAGTTCAGTCTTTGCTCCGCCCCAGCCACCGCCTATCCACGGTTGCGCCTCCGCTCACCGGGCCCAACTCACCTGCTTCCATGGCCAGCACGGTAATGTTGTGCCAGCCGGCAGTTTCACGGTCCAGCCCCTTGCCAGTCACAATGGCGCCAGTGTCTGCATCAATGTCGAAGATCTGATCCAAATCCGAGTCACGGTCAATGGCGTACCTGAGTGGGGAGCAGGGTTGGGCTGATCAAATGCGCCCCACTGTCGGGAGTCTGTGCCCACGATCTCCCTCTTCCACCCTACTCCAAGAAAGGGACTACCCCCTAGAGACAGAGGCTTAGCATCTCCGTGGAACTGGGGACTCCTGGATCTTAGGGGCAGGAACAGCCGTTCTGAGCCCTTGAATGGTCAGTGGGGCTACGAATTTGTATCCTACGGTTGTAGAGGGCTGAAGACCACATCCCCGGGACAGAGTCACAGATGGCTCTCTCCTTGTTTTTCTAAAAAGGAAAACAATTGGGTTTCACAGTGAGGGGAGACTTATTGGGGCTCTAGGGGTGGCAGAGGTAGCTGAGGACGGACTGTTTCAAGAAAAATCAGAGGATATAAAATGACTGAGCTGGAGGTGGGGAGAGCGATTTAGGACTGGGAGATGGGGTTCTGAGAATTTTGAGCAGGAGAAGGAGCAGGTTAGAATGCTTCTGGAGGCCAAGTGTTCCCCAGACCCAGGGCAGCAGAGCCTGGCCTGGGAGGGTCTGTGACTGGCCCTGCTCCTCCTGCCTGCACAGCGCGCTTGCTAATCTGCAGCTTTTCAGTTGCCGCGTGAAAAAGCCCTTTGTTCCGCCTTCTTCCCAGGTCTTTGTGCTTCGGCTCCAGGCCTGAAAGGCCCGTGTCCAACACATGTCTCAGGCGGCGGAGGCCCAGAGAGGCCCCGCCAGCACCCGCCGCCACTTTTTGCACTGATAACACAGGCGGGGGTGCTGTGGCTACGCACAGACAAAAGCCTGGCATGCAGGCAAAGGCGCATTGTGCAGCCTGGACAAAGCAGCCAGGCAGGGAGGAAAGCCTTACCTCTGCTCTTCCCCCAATCCTACGGAGGGAAACTGAGGCCTGGGGAAGCAATGCCTGCAGGGCCCAAGGCCTTGAGAGGCGTCCTTTGGAAAGGCCTGGGTTGCATACTAGATCAACTGTCTCAAGACCTCAGTTTTTCCGTCTCTCCCACTGGGATAATGGCAACCTGCAGGGGTCTGAGTATACTAAGTCTGCATTTCCTGTCATTTGTTCATCCTGTGCAACCTTGAACCAGTCTTCCACCTCCTTAGGCTGTTTATGTGTTGAATTCAGAATTCAGAGCCACCTGATGCCCTGGTATGGACTGGGTGGTGGGAGTGGGGTGAAGGCATGCAGCAGACTCTAGAGGGATTTGGGTGGATTTTTTTTAAAGTGCAGCGTGTGTGTGTGTGTGTGTGTGTGTGTGTGTGTGTGTGTGTGTGTGTGTCTGTGTGTCTGTGTTCACGTGGATGTACCTGTGTTCATGAGGGCTCTCAGGTATTCTCCATCCCTCTCTACCTTTCTCCCTTCTGACAGCTTTTACATCTGGACCCCACTGTTTCACCGCACGCATGGCCACACATGTCTTCTTACATGGCTGTTGAGGATTTGAACTCAGGCAAGCCAGTAGGCTTTCTCAACAAGTGCTCTTACCTACTGAGCCATCTCCCCAACCCCCAGATATCATCTCTTCCTGTTCTGGGTTGCTGGCAAGAGTGTACTGCCTCTTGCCCCTGGCTAGCCAGGGGTGCTACCTGGAGTTCAGACTCAAAATGACCCCCTTCCCCTGGCATGCATTCGACAGTTCTGAGACTGCACTTCCCAGTCGCCCCTGATTTGCCCTTCATGACCTGAACATCAAGCAAATGCCTTCCCTGGGCTGTTCAGGGTTATAAAAGAACAGGACTTGCCAGACAGCCCTGTGCTTCTGTCACTGTCTCCACTTTGCAGATGATGTCACAGGCTACCAGGATAAACTCAGCTGAGTGTGGCTGTGTCACACACAGAACAGTATTCTACTAGCCAGGCTATGAGTCCCAGCTTTGAGCACATCTTCTCAAGGGGCCTGTCTTTATTTACATTAAGATGTGGATCAGACATGACTCTCCCAATTAGGGGTGCAGAATTATTCTGCTATAGAGTTAGCCTTTGCACCCAGAGGTGGAACTCTAAACCCAGAGTTCTTTGGGGCTTGTTGAACTAACCAAAGGAAGCCTCAGTGCCTGGAGCCCCTCGGGGACCCCTTGGCCCCAGTCTGACCCTGCCAGGTATTTGCATGGGAAGGAGGTGGAACAGGACTATGGATGTCTGCTCACCTGCAAAGGATCCTGGAGAGCCCTGCCCACTTTGCAGATGGAGGGGTAGAGGTGGGGGTGCTGAAGGCGACAGGACTGAGGGGAAGTGATTTTATATTTGCTGTTGAAGGTGGGGTGAAGGCATGTGGCAAACTGTAGAGGGGTGTGCCATGGGCAGAGTGAAGTTTTAAAAGTGTGTGTGTGTGTGTGTGTGTGTGTGTTTGTGTTTTCTGATAACCCATGTAGCTATGAACTCACCAATGGAGTAATCCTTTGATGAGGTTAGCACCCCTAAGATCCAGTGCCTCTCTTCCTCCCTCTCCTGTTTTCCTCCTCCCTCTCCTGTTTTCCTCCTCCCCACTTCTCTTCTTCCCATTCTTTTCATCCTCCCCTTCCTCCTCTAGATTTTTCTTTTGTTCTTCTTAGAGGGAATATCAGAGGCTGGAGCCTAAGAATAGGCAGCTATACCCAAGGCCATGGGGCAGGGACACTATAGTGAAACCATTAACCAGTTAACACGTAGGCAACAGGCCTCAGTCTTGGCTGCCTGGCTTCTAGCCTCCGTAGCCAGTGAGTGAGTGGGAGCAAAGGGCTCCCTGTGTGGCAAGAACTGCCCAGCAGTCAAGGGAAGGGGAAGTTGGCGTACCTCATGTGGATGTACACAGCCATGTGTCCTGTCTGAGCTGTGGACAGGAATGTATGTTTGTGGTATGACTGAGTGGGGTATATGTGTGACAGTGTGCTGAAGTTGGGATGGCAAAGGCTTGAGCACCCTTGGCTCCCCTCTGGCTCTGGGACCAGGCCCTCTACCCCCAGGCAGATGGCTTCCCTCCTCTGGGCCACTCTCAGCACACTGTGCCAAGCGCTCTCCCAGGGGCTGATTTCATTTCTCTGTTTTAAGGGTGCACTGGCTCCCTGTCTGCTGCTCCTGCTCCCTGGAATGCCCTCCTGCAGGTCCACACTCAGGCTATGCCATTCTGCCCTCCGTTTCTTCCCTCAGGAGCCTTACCACTCAATGCAAAGTGACCCCTGTGACCCCAAATACCCCGGACCCTCTTACTGCAGCTTTTCCAGAGCCTGTATCAGCACTTAGTAACTACCGATGTGGGCAGGATCCCATCTCATTGCATGCAACAGTGACTCTTGGGTGGCCTGGAGACCCTTCTCTGCTGCACACAGTCCAGCACTGGCCTTGGTCCTCAGGTCTGTGCCCCACAGTCAGAGAGCTCTGCCCTGGAACTGCCCTTGGTTGAGTCTCCGCATGTCCCCTGGCCTGGCTCTGAGCCATGCAGGGGAAGCTGGGTGAATGTTTGCGGTGCTAAATTGGACCTGTCTGGAGCTCCCCGAGGGCTCTTCCACATCTGAGGAGCATCAGGGAAGGGGGCCCGGCACAGGGAGATGAAGGAGGGTGAGACGCTGGTTTCAAAGTCTGTCCCTTCAGCGAGGATGAAAGAAGACTAGAGAGGGAGTGGAAGCGGAGGGCGGAGAGCAAAGCGCAGAGGAGGGAGCTGCAGACATGACCGCTGACCCCACTGACCTCCCCCTCATCCTCATCCTGCCCCTCCTCCCGTGATGCTCGCAGAAGCCAACCTGCTCAGGTCTCCAGTTTTCTGAGCAACGGGTGACACTGTCCTCTCTGAAGAAGGCTCAGACCAGCCAGAAGCCAAACAGTATTTAAGGACTGTGCCTGGTGGCAGGGAGACAAAGGGCTGTGGCCATATCCTAGGCTTCTTCCTGGAGGGTGAGGTCCTATACTACCTGTGAGGCCCTAGTGCCTTACCCCTTACTGTAAACTATAGCCCCAGGATCCTGACATCTGCACAGACCTCCCTAGACCTGGAATGGGGCCCAGCTCAGGTCCAAGAATTGTTCCAAGATCCCCGAGGCTGTCTCTTCATTTGACAGACGATGGCAGCTAAGTGAGATGGGAGTTTTGCATTTAGTGGGCTGAGGCTGGCATGTAAGATTGTACGGGCTGGACCCTGTGTGATTCTAAGAGGTTTGTCAAGACAGTGACAGAGTGTCATCCCCGGAACCTGTACAATACAATCCTTAAGCTTCCTTCTCCTCAGTACTCAGTAGAACTCAGCTTGGCCCCTTAACTGTGTAGTAGGGAGGTTGGGGAAGAAGCAAGGCACCCCGGAATCTCTTCCTTGTCCCTGTGATGCTGGCTGGCTGATCTTCCCCTCCTAGCCCTTTCTCTGGGTCTGTTTCTGCCAGAACCACTGTCCTTCTCTTCTCTCTGTGTTTTCTAACCAAGGCCTCCCTAAAGCCCACGGTTTCTTCCAGAGCTGCCCCCACTCCCTTGCATCTCTGCCCACTTCTGCCTCACCCAGGGCTGCATCTGGCTCTTGGGCTTCCAGTCCTCTCTCTAGAGTTCCTCTCATCTGCGCTGCCTGCCAGGTCCCTCCTGGCCTTCTCTCTCACCAGGCTCTTCACCCGGCCCCTCTCTTTCACTGCTGGTCTTTCTGTCTGTCTCTTTTCTCTGTCTTGTCTCGGGGTTCACTGATTCTCTAGCTGTTTGGGGAGTGTGGCAGGGGTGTCAGGTCTGTAAGCCTCAGTGCCCCGGGACCTAGCAGCGAGTGAGCTGGTAGAGGTCCCCATCCTCTGGGTACTGGTTCAGTGGGGGCGAACATGGATACTAGGAAATCAGAAGAAGCTGGGAGCTGTGTAGAGGAGGAATACAGAGGGAGAGATGGGAGGTGCAGGGGCTGTGTGGCACAGGGTGAGCAATTTTGGACCAAGGAAGGCATTTAGAGATGAATACTGTTGAGCAAAGGGAGTGAGGAGACAGATCTGGGGGTCTGGGCCCGGGAGCAGCTGACAGAGGCTGAGGGGAGCTGGAGCTGCAGGCTTCAGGGGAGGGGAGCATACAGGGGAAGGCCAGGAGGTTTCTGGGACACTCAGGGTCATGTTGAGGGTCAAGGTGAAATTTAACTGAATCCAAGAGGAGGAGGGTAAGGAGCAAAGGAGGCCAGGCTTAGCTTCACATGGGAGCAAGACCTGGCTGCCTTCTGTGAGGACAGACGGTGTGAAGGCTAGCCAGGGGATGTGCTGGCTTGGGCCAGGCTGTGACCGGAGCTAAGGAGTTCAGGGGAGAAGTCTGACTACATTTTAAGGTAGAGAATGTAGATGGATTTGGGGGGGGAGAGGGAGAAGAAGGGGGAACACATGTGCCCTAAAGGACCGAGGAGCCCTGTAGAGGGGGTGGCTTAAGAAAATAGGGCCCGATTTGCGAGGTTTTGTTTCTTCTGAACATGGTGAGGGGTTGTCCTGACGTGGACTGGTGAGAGGAGGAAGTGGGACCTCTCCAGCAGACCATCAGGGCGCCACTGGCACTCTGGGCACAGACTCTGCACCTTTGTCCCTGTCTTGCCTGGAACTGTGCCTCCTTTTCTTCCTGGGCTCTCTGGCTCTCAGTATCCCCTCCCCTCTGCCTTCAGTCTGTTGGGGTGGTGCATGGCAGAACAGCAGGCAGCAGGCTTGGCCCCGGGCGGGGGTCTCACCGGACGGGCCGGTTGGCGGCGTCGGGGTCCCGCGCCGTCACCACGCCGACCAGGGAGCCCACCTGCGCGTCCTCCTGCACCTCCAGGAGGCCGGAGGGTGGCCGGAACTCGGGGGGCTCATCCACATCGGTCACGGCCACGCGCACGATTGCTTGGTCTCGGAATGTGCCCAGGTCGGCGAAGCGGGGATCCACAAACTTGTTGAGGGCTTCCAGCACCACCGTGTGCACCTGCTGTGACTCGAAGTCCAGGCGCTGGGGAAGCAGAGAAGCCAGGTCAGTGATGGGCCCGGGGAGTTATGACATTGCCAGGAAGGGGGACACAACAGGCTGACAGCCAAGGTCACAGGTAGCTCCGCCCATCAGAGTTGATTATCAGAGGCCCAGATGAGCCCTTTCCAATGTAAAGGGGGTTTCTAGGAGACTGGTTTTTTGTTTGTTTGTTTTTGGCATGGAAGCACGTAGCCACCACTTTAAAAGGCCCCAGTCCCGAGGTTTCTTGCATCCCCACTTAGTGTGTTTTCATCAGTCACTCCATTTAATAGCCACCTGTAGGACCAATATAGCAGTGATCGCCTTTTACACATGAGGACATCAGGGCCAGAAGGGCACAGCGACACCCTGAACAGGTGGCCCCTGGCAGGTCACTGTGGCTCCCAGAGCCAGGAGAGAAAAATAGGGACAAAGATGTGCAGACTTAAGCCCTGGGTTCCAGCCGTGGCTGTCCATGGTCAGCTGTGAGCTTGACTGTAGACAATCAGACAGACCTTTTTGACTTTGGGTGAATGAATGAAGCTCCCGAAGGGAAGAGCACCTTGACTGAGCCTGGCTCTAGTCTTCCTACACAGATGACATCAATGGCAAATCTTTAGTTACTACAGTCGCGTGGTGGTGGTGGTGGGGCTTTCTGGGGCTCCTAAGCCTGTGTCTACCTGGTATATGGGGCCCCTTCCCTGACAGCACAGATTTTCTTCTTTCCCTGTCTTGTTGCCTGAGCAATCGAGATGCAGGGAGCTGGGCACTGGCCTAAGAATGAATGATGGCTTCTACAGCCAGGCCATTCATCAGGCGAGGCTCTGCCAGGCTCTGGAGCCATTGCTGACTCCACAGACACCTCAGGCGCCACTGGAGCCACCAAGCTACTGAGCACGGGGACGAGGCATCCCCACAGAAGAGAGAAAACTAGCCTCCAGGGGTGAGTTCTGATGCTGGGGGCGGTTAGGAAGCTGGAGAGCTGTGGGCTGCTAGGCTGCTCTGGACCTCCAATTCCCATCTATGACAGAGGCCCATCTTATAGTTGGGGCGCCCGGGGATCAAAAGACTGGAAACTAATTGGATTCTGCAGTTAGAGCCCTGAGATTGTGTTCCTACAGGGCTGCCCCAGTTGAGTGACCCTGGCAAGGTACTGAACCCCTTGGGGCACACAGAGGTCCACAACCGTATGTGGACTCGGGCAGGGGACTTGAGCAAGGGACTCGGCCTTCCAGTGGGTGGCGTGTTCGAGTGCATAGTCCTCAAGGCTTGGTGCTCTGAGTCATCACAGCAGTGGCCAAGAAGGCAGATTCTTGCTTTGTTCTGGGACCTCCTTCCACATTCTCTGAGGAGCACCGGGTCTGTTAGGCCAAGGTTTCTGGATCAGCCAGGGGTGTGCGCACAGTTGTTGGATGTAGTGGGGGAAAGGTTTGGGTTCAAATTCCAACACTGTGTCTTCCAGATGTGGTCTTGGCAAGCTCCTTTCTTGTCCTCCACCTTGGTCACTAATCAAAATTGTGATCTTTCTTTTAGAGGGAACCATGGGGATTAAAGAAAACAGCCTGTGAAGGTCCAGGAATGTGCTGAAGTAGACCATCATGATGCTGGGTGTGGGCTCAAATCTGAATTCACAAATAGCTGTGCAACCTTGGGTAGCTCACTTATCCCCTCTCAACCTCATTTTGTCTCCCATGAGATGGTAATGAGAGAGACATGGAGGCTTCCCAACCCCGGAGGGGCGGGAAGTGAGATCCAGACACCCCCCCCCCCCCTCTCCACCCTGCTCAAGAGCTGTACCTTCTGTACTACAATGATGGCCTCCTGTGTGTCGCTGTCCGTGGTGACCTTGAACGCGTCTCCTCCACTGCCGCTCTCCTCTCTCAGGTGATAAGTCATGTCTGTGTTCTCGCCCACATCAGAGTCCTCAGCCTTCACTCGGCCCACAGCCGTGCCGATGGGTGCCGACTCCTGTATGCTGAACTGGTACATCTCTGTGGGGGACATGCTAGGAGGTTGACTCTGCTCTCTGCCCAAGCGCCGGGGAGAGAGGAGGGAGCTGGGTGTGCCCGGGAAGGGGGCAATTTGTATTTGCAGAGGGGCTGCCCTGGCCAGGTGGAAATTTCCAGCTGCAATGGGTCTGTCTTCTGAAGAAGGCAGAGGCCATGCGTTAGAAGTCACTCATTCCACCTTTAGGCCTCTTGGTTGACAGTATGGGGACATCCCTGTCATCTTTGAGGCCTGTTTTCCCACCTGCCCAGCAAGAGGGACAGAAGAGGTTTATGGTGAAGGTTGAGGCTCTGGAGACAGATCTGACCTGTACCCCTGAGCTTCAGTTGCCTCATCTGTGAAATGGGAAGGATGTATTTCTAACAGCAGTGTTACCATGACAACACAGACGCTGCTACCTGTGAGGTGTGAGGAGCTGGACTCACACTGGACTGCACAGAAATGACTGGCTCGTGACATGTCACATTGATGGCGTTTGTCACCTCTGAGAAGCACCGCTGATGTCCCAGACAGTGTATAGTAGAAGAGGACAGAGCCTCACTGATAAAGGGGTGAGGAGATGAGCCAAAAGCAGCAGATAGCGGGGAAACACATTCTAGTGAGAGGAGATGGCAGGTGCGAATAGTCTGAAGTGGGCACGCTCCAGCAGAGACGGCCCAGTGACTGAAGGGGAGAAGATAATATACCGGGAGCATCCTCCTATCTGACCAGGATCAAGGTCAAGGTAAGAGTGGCTTTCTGAATGAGGAGTCAGCCCAGATGATGGGTCAGAAGTTTGCCTCCTGGTGCCTCAAATGCTTGGGAACCTTCGTGAGGCGTGGTTGCCTCTTTCTCATGCTCACACAGCAACCTTGAAAGGATTCTTGCTCTGATCTCGCCATAGCTCCCCACTACCCTTGGGGTAGACAGGGAAAGCTCCTCAGCCTTGCCCCACAACATGCATGCTGCCAGCCTATCACACCCCTGCTCCAGTGTCACCCTCCTGGATGGCCCAGGGACACCAGCACAACTCAGGGCTTACCTGTAGCTTCCCTCCCTACTTTACCCTTTGGGGGACCCTCCCTACATCTTCAGCTGTCTTCCCCTGGGCCCCCAAAAACGTCCTAGCAGGTGCTACTGCCCATCTCTCAAACTCTCTCCCTCTGGGCCAAACGTGAGCTGTAGGAGACAAGGGTCGTGGTGCTCTGTCTCCAGGCACGGCAAGTCGTCTCGTGGTGGGTGGGCTGTGTTAAGGAGCAGTGAGCAGCGAAATAAAAGCCAGCTGCAGTTGCAAATGGGCAACCTCTAGATTCTCCCAGATTAAAGGGTCTGACTACACTCGGTGTTGGTGGGGAGGTGGTACAAGGGACACACATATCTCTTTGTGAGGGAACCCTTCTCAGCAATACCAGAGAGTGTTTGCAGAAGGGCACTAGGGAACACGGGCAACTAGGTTCAAAGTTTACAACAGCCCCGTCTAGAAACAAGCCAAATATCCGGTAGGAGACATGCGTGGTGCTAGATACACAGCAAGGAAAAGGAACACAGCTAGAATAAACAGCCTGCGTTTAGGAACGTAATTCTGAAAGCAAAGGCACACAGCAGTTTGTATCATATGGTTTCACTTATTGGAGGTTCACAAAGGGGCAGATTAGACTATAGGGGCTTGGAGACACGTAGAGAGGGGGGCGGACCCCCAGGAAAGCATGGAGATGATGGCAGCAGACAAAGTGGCCGGTGGCTGACACTGCTGGGGAAGGAAGATGCTGTGGCTGGGAAAGGCACCTGGGGGATTCTGGGTCCTGCTGGTGGGGCTGAGTGTCGACTTTGGGCTTTTCTGTTGTTTGCCCTTCTGTCCTCTATAGTCAGAAAGAAGAAATGATGGCAGGAGAGAAAGGAAGGAGGAAAGGAGGGAGGGAAGGAGAGAGGAAGGGAAATAGAAGGAAGAAGAGGAGGGAGGGGGAGGGAAGGAGGAAAAGAGGGAGTGGAGAGGGAGGGAGGAATGCATCTGGCCAGGCCTCCTCTCTGCTCTGCCCCTCATGTAGAGCCTGCTGCCCCAGCCTGGTATTGTTTATTGTCTGTCCTGAAGCTTTCCTTTCGGGAACAGGAGGGCTGGGCCCTGCCTGCCTCTGGCCTGATGTCTGTAGCCTGTGCTGGGGCACACTCTGTGCTGAATGGCTGCTGGGAGCTCAGCTAAGGGATTGCATTCGCTTATCTTGTGGGGGTCAGTCCCCTGTGGCGGGGCCTAATATGAGAGCAGTGGACCTCGGGTAATGACTCGCCTGATAGGAATCAGCTGGCTCCCGGCGGCATTTAGTCTCTGCCAGCTGCAGCTGCAGCTTCCCTGTGGCGGCTGGGCCTGAGCCTGGGACAGCCCTGCTAGCCAGGCTGACAGACAGGTGGGGGCCTGATCCAGAGAAATCGCCTATCCCAATTTGTGCCAGGAGAGGCCAGCCTCCCAATTCATCGGCACAGACTGCTAGCCTCCAGTCTCCAGGAGAAGGGAGACCTTGTCCTCAGACTCAGCTTCCCTGGGCTTAAGTATGGGTGTCCCTCTGCCTGGTACAGTGGCTGCCTCCCTTCAGTCTAGACCCCTGTGAGCCTTCAATGCCTCTTTACAAGCTTGGGCCAGGGATCTAGCAGTAGCTAGGGGGACTTGAAGGGACAACAAGAGGGCAAATGGATGAACAGAGGATGGGCAGGGCTTCTCAGATGGGGAGGTTGCAGCAGTTCTGTCTGCAAAACCAGGTTGGCAGGGGTTTCCCTGTGTGGGAGGCAGGCTTGGAGGGGCACAGGATGAGTGGGGACATAGGAGCTCCCAGGCGATGGTCCGCCTTCAGGCAGGAAGCTTTAAGGGAAGCTGGACCAGTAGGGTCACATACAGACAGACAGACAGACAGATATATACACATAACCCCACTTACTCTGTGGGAAGCGGGGTGGGTTGTCATTGACATCAGTGACCACGATGGTGACTGTAGTGGAGCCCGAGAGGCCACCCAGCTGGCCTGCCATGTCTGTGGCTTGGATAACCACCTCATAGCGTTCCTGGCTCTCACGGTCGAGGTCGGGTACAGCTGTCCGGATCACACCTGTGGGTGACAGAGAATGGGGATATGGTAACAGACAGGCAGGAGTCAGTCTTACTGGGCTGTGTACTGAAGGTCAAGGAAGAGCCACGGATGTAGCATGATTAATAAAAATCCAGAGACAGAAATTGGGGTTCAACCTAGAGGTCAGAAAAACAAAACAGTCAGCCACTGGCTCTTACCTCTACCTCAGTCTGAAATGGTGACCCTGCCTTCAAGAATCTCAGAATGAGACTGTGTGTGAGAGCTGTCTCCTCCTGCTTTATATTCCTCTCTAGGACTGGGATTAAAGGCATGCACCACTACCACCCGGTTTCTATGGCAAACTAGTGTGGCTACTGGGATTAAAGGTGTGTATCAACACTGCCTGGCCTCTAGTGGCTTAGTTTTACCTTCTGGTCTTCAGGCAAGCTTTATTTATTAAACATAAAATATCATGCCGGGCGGTGGTGGCACACACCTCTAATCCCAGCACTCGGGAGGCAGAGGCAAGAGGATCTCTGTGAGTTCGAGGCCAGTCTGGTCTACAAGAGCTAGTTCCAGGACAGCCAGTGCACACTTACACACAGGCACCTCACACACATTCCCACAGTGCATAGTCACAGACAGATGAGTTCTCTGCACCCCTCACAGGCCTCTACACACCAACAGATTAACATCCCGCCACACATACGCACACACTGCCACATACAGAAGATTACTTATTTTGCTGAGAGGAGGCTTGTGGACCAGACCTGCCCCTGGGACTCCGCCCCGAGTAGCCAGTCCCACTGTGGGTCTCTTTCCCCCAGGATCTGGTATGTGTGAGCAGGGTGTCTGCCTGGCTTGTTAGTGACCTGCTGACCTTGGTACCGAGCAGCTGCTCGAGTTTAACATTTAGGCAACACTTACCAAGGATCCCACTCTTAGTGTACATGTGTGTGCCTCATACATATGGACTGCAGTCACACACACCTGTTCATGTGCACCCCTGCTCATCCTCCAGCCTGTACACCCCAAGCCTGGGTCTCTGCTTAGGCTGCAGAGAAGGGCTGGGAAGACCACCTTCCAAGCTGCCCTTGGTGTGGAAGCAGAAAGGGAATGCTGAAGGTTAACTCTGCAGAGAAGACAGCCAGGCCTCATTTCCTGTCAGTGTAAGACCCTGGTCAGGAGGGGGAGTTAATGAAGCATCCAGAGCCTCTCCTGACACCCCCTTCCACCTGCCAAGCACAGGTAGTGACAGGTGGCGCCTGGGCCTGAGCACCAGGTGGAGTCATGCACCAGCAGCCCCAGGATGCGCCCCATAAAACCTGTGCTCCAACTCCTGATGTCCCCAAGTCCCTGGAGTCCAGTAAAGGTAATAGGACAGGAGGAGAGGCTGTGAGGTGGTGGTGGTGTGGTGTGTGTGTGTGTGTGTGTGTGTGTGTGTGTGTGTATGTGTGTGTGCATGTGTGATGTGTGGTGTGTATTGTGTCTCCAGAGGAGGCAGGCAGAACTTAGAGTGGTCTGCTTTTGTGATTGCAGCGAGAGGAAGGAAAGAACACAAGGGGAAGAAAGAAGAGAGGAAGGAAGAAGAAAGACAGAGCCAAGGACCCTGGAGAAAGAGAGAGACCTAGAGGGAGGGACAATAGGAGAGACTAGGGAAGAGAGACATTTGGGGGAAGGAGAGACCTCTTGAGACAGAAAAGGAGAGAAGAGAAGCCAGGAAAGACCCTTAACCAGAGAGAAGAGAGAGGGAGACAGAGAGAGGGGAGAGAAAAGGGCAGTGCTTGTTGGAGCCAGAGTGGGTGGCTCATGCCGGCTCCAGGGAGCAAGGACAAATGGCAGACAGGTATAGTGGCCATCAGGCTTACAAACAAGGTCCAAGGCAGAAAGGCAAGGAAGAGAGCTGACTCTGTTGTGCTGAGAGAGGGTCTCATGTATCTCAGGCTGGTCTTGAACTCCTGATCCTCCTGCCTCTACTTCCCAAGTGCTGAGTTACAGATATGTGCCCCCATGCCCAGCAGGGAGTTGAGTAGTTGGACACTTTCCATGTAGGGATACACTGAATGCAGTCTGGTAGCAGGATTTAGGGCCGCCTGTATCTCAAAGCTCTGCACCCCCAACTCTGAGAGGGGACTGGAGCAGAAGTCTGGCTCCACCTGAGTAGCTGAGGAGGGAGCCCCGTGCCCTTGATTTCCCTGTTGCCCCCACTCTAGAGAGACTTGGGATGTGATATCTTACAGAGCCTGTGGTTCGGAAGCCTCTGGACATCCCGGAGTGGGAAACAGGGGCCATGTGGCCTCTGGACACTGTCCAAAGTCATGTACCTTGTGAAGTTGCTATAGAGATAGTGTCTGATGAAACACATCTATCTCCAAGTACCCACAACCTTGGATAATTCCTGCCCACTGAATATGGCCTTGAGCGTGTGATGTGCTCTGGCTTAGGGGACAAGTCAGGACTGTTAAGTCTTGAGCGCCGGGATCTTTTCTCTAAGAATCCCAAGGCCCCTGCACATTGAAGCAACCCAGAAAGAAAGGGACATGGTGAGAGGTCCAGGTCTGGCAGCTGACAGCCAAGGGCTGGTCCACAAGTGACCCCCAAGATCCGCTAAACTAGGCACACAACCGTGACAAAGACTCAACCATTGATCCAGAAAGTTTGGCTTCACATGGTATAACCTTAGATAACTGATAGAGAAATCTGATTAGCTGAGCCGTTCTTGAGCTAATTCATGTAGCTGGGTCAAACTGAGGGTCAGTTTGGCTGAGAGGCCCAGAATGACCTCAGCCTCCCTCTGTCTTCAGAGACACGTGGACTCCTGCTCCCTCCAGTAAGCTGGCATCCTTCTGTGAGCTCTCAGGACTGTGTTCTAAAACAGAAGTTGAAGGCTGAGGACTGGCAGGGTGACTCAGCAGGTAAAGGAGCCTGCCTGTGAGCCTGATTACTTGGGTTCTGTTCCTCCATGGTAGAAAGAGAGAACCAAGTCTCTCTCAGACACCCACACTGCCCTCTATACATATGCCTACCCACGTATGCACACATAAAATGAATATACAAATAAATATTAAAATGGCATTTTTTTAAGTGAAAGATCTCTTAAGCATGAATTATGGAATCTACATAACATCTTTCTATCACTTTCTATTGGGCCAAAGCAAACCACCAGATTCAAGGGTGGGGAAGTGGACTCCATGTCTCAATAGTTAGAGGGAATAGCCAAGGGGGGGGGGGACGGACGGACGACAACAGGGACGGATGAACGGACGACAAGGCTGTATCTATATTAGCAGGTTTTAAATTTGCAGGTTCATCCTCCTTGGATGTAGCCGACTCCATATGGAAAATACAAAGGAAATAACCGCGCCTACGCTACGTGCATAGCCTTCGTTGCATGCACAGCGCTTCGTTGCGTGCGCGCTTTCCCTTCAGTAGTATTCCCTGGACAAGAGAGTGAGACACCGATTTTCTACCCTGCCTCACGTGCAGTGCTGTCACTGCTCTGGGGATGATTTAGAGTACACGACAGAAGGCGTGAGGCGACAAGCCGGCACCATGCCACCTTATGCTCCAAGGGCTATGGAGTCTTGGAGCCAATCCCTGTCAGATGCCAAGAGATGGATGTCCTCAGCGGTAGTGCACAGGCAGGAGGGTGTGTGCAGGTACGAGATTCCCAAATCATGATCTTATTCATTCATTTATTCATTCATTCGCTTGACACTCGCTGAGGGTCTGTGATGCACTGGGAACACTCAGCACTGGATAGGAGGACTGTAAAAGGATCAGTGTGGGTCAGACAGACAGGGGCTTGGTAGTCTTTCCACTGTTTACACCCCTGACTTTGGGCAAGTTCTTGGGTCTGAGTCTATTCCCTGGTCCATAAAATGGGCCTATCCACTGTGGTAGCTTCTTGCCAGGATGCAGAATTACCTAGGAGGCAGGTCTCTGGGCGCATCTGTGGAGAATTGTGTTGATTATGCTAATTGAGCTAGGAAAACCCATCTTAATGATGGGTGGGACCATTCCTGGACTGCACAGGACAGGGAAGGAGCGGAGGAATGCTGGCTTGCATTCCTCCTTCTCTGGCTACAGACTGAGGGTGCAATGTGACCAGCACACCAAGCTCCTGCAGCCTCGCTTTCCTGCTGTGGTGGACTGCAAATAAATTCTTTCTGCTCTCTCTCTCTCTCTCTCTCTCTCTCTCTCTCTCTCTCTCTCTTTCTCCCTTCCTCCCTCCCTCTCTCTTCCTTCCTTCCTTCTTTATTTTAGGGCATTTTATCATAGCAAGAAAAGGGATGGCATCCCTGCCCTGGGGTTGCTGAGACATGGCTGAGACAGGGCTTCTAGGACCATATCTCACTTTTTAAAAATTGCTTTTGTGATTGTGTGTATATATGGTGTGTGTGTGTGTGTGTGTGTGTGTGTATACGTGCGAGAGAGCACTTGTGGTAGTCCAAATGAGAAGGTCCTCATAAGTCTCAGGTGTGTGAAGACTTGACCCCCGCCCCCGTAGATGGCTGTCTGAAGAGGAATTACAAGATGTGGACTTGCTGGAGGTGATGTCACAAACGGTGGACTCCAAGGATTTTGAAAGACTCTCATTGTTTTGCGTGTGCTCTCTGCTTCCTGACTGTGATAGAAACGTTATTCTCAGCTGTTCCTGAAGTCATGCCTCCGCTCGGCCACTGTGGACCCTAACTCTCTGGAACCATTTGCCCAAATAAACCCTTCCTTCTGTAAGCTGCCTTGGTTGTGATGTTTTATCATAGCAACTGAGGAGCAGGCTCAGGGGTGCAGCCACGCACATGCCACAGTGTACCTGTTGAGGGCAGAGGACAACTCTGAGTGTCCCTTCTCACCTCCCATCTTGTTCAAGACAGGGTCACTCATTCATTGCTTCATATGCCAAGCTTCTGGAAGTTCTCCTGTCTCTGCCTCTTACCTCACTATGGAGTCACGGAGGTTGCACACACACCCCTACTTCTGACTTTTCGTGGTTCGAGGGATCTGAGCTCAGAGCCTCAAGCTTGCGTGGAGAGAGAGCATTTTACCCACGACACCATCTCTTCAGCCCCAAGCCTCACATTTTAGAGGCTCTCCCACACATCTTTCTCTTTGCATCCTGGGCTGGGCACCTCCCCGTCCCCATAGACAAGCCCCAGTGGGCAGGGATCCCAATGATCTTTTATCAGCGGAAGGATATCTACAGGGCTTGGGACGAAGTGCTCAGTTAGCACTTGGACTACCTGAGTGGCCTTTTCTGCATCCTGCCTGTCCCCCCTCATGCCGATGGCTGTTTCCAGTCTCTCTGTCAGAACAGAAATTCACAAGGTTTGAAGAGGAGCAGGGTTTACCACCCCAACCCCAGCACTCAGCATCCAACAGATGCTTAGCAAGTCTGAATTCTGTCCCCTCTAGGCCCAATGGCTGTCCCTGGCACAGGCGAATTTTTATCCAAGATCATGACATCTCTGAAGGAGTCTTTCAGAGTCTTTCATGCTGAGGTGATGGTAGGCAGGGGCTGGCAATTATAGGTGGCCATGAATGCCCATTGTCGTGTCCACACCCAGTGTCCCACGTTCCAGTTGTCTTCACCAGCTCTCTTGTCTCCTCCAGATGCTGCAGAGGGGGCCCTGGAGCCTGTGTGATGCCTCATTAGCCTCCAAATGCCATCCCTGTCGCCCCTTGTGGGGGGCTGGCTGGCAGGCCTGGCCTTTAAAACACACAAGTTAATTCCTCCTCTGGCACTGGGCCCCGTGGCGCAGCCCCTCCTCCTCCTCCCTTCCTCACACCTTCCCCTCAGGCCTCGTTGCAGCTCCGCTCCCTGCTAGCTGCGCAGCGAGAACAGACTGTACCTCGCAGTAGCAGCTAAATATAGCCCCACATCGGCAGAATATTCCTGGCTAGGGAAACGGGCTGGGGCTGGCGGTAGTGCCAGGGTGACTGTGGCAGAGACGCTGGGGTACCGAGGGAAGGTCCAATGCATCCTGGGAAATGTCAGAACGGACCCTTTCAGCCCCAGAAGCTGAGACTCAAACGACGATTCTATTGGGGCTCCTCCACCTGCCTTGAAAGGAGCCCCCTTTCTGGTTTCCAATAGATGCTGTTTCACTGGCCTTTGGAGTCTCACCCGTGACACCCCTTTCTGAGCACAAGGGTTGCCCCTCAGAAAGTGGAAACCTCTTCATTCTCAGAGTCTAATCTCTGACTTGCCTTTCCTTGCCACCCCCCAAGATTCAGTCCTGGCCCTCTTAACAAGCATTGTTTTATTCTTGCCTGTGACTATGTAGCTTAGGCTGACCTCGGACTCATAGAGATCCTGGCACCAAGGGTTGTGCTGAACACAACACCCACTCCTTGTCCTCATGGCCTCACTGCTCATCCCTAAACATCCCATGCCCCTCACTTCGTCTGGGTCTGGATGACTCCAAGGTCACAGAAAAGTCTGCTCCAATTCCTACAACTCCATATAATCCCTTTACACTCCTTGCTGGAAGCCGTCGCTACCCAGCACCGTGCTCCGGGCAGCGTGCTTATTTTCTGTGTTTCTTTCTCTGCTCGAAGCTCCAGAAGCACAGTCTTGGATGACCCTGCTGCTGTCTTCCAAGTGCCTCGTGCACACGCTGACCTGTAGTGACCACTCCTTCAGTATCTGAATGAACCACAGAGATCTCACCCTGCGTCCCACGAGCTCATGAGTACAGGGTGAGGGGTGCGCACTAAAGTTGAAGATGCTAAAGAAAAAAGGGTGCAGTGAGTTCTTACAAGGGGCAGACATCAGACTGGTGCCCCTGATTCCTCCCTTAACCTAGTCTCTGGTAGTCAAGGGAGACTCCAAAAGTCTCAACCATTCTCATAGCTCCGTGTTTATAATTTAAATGGACAGATTAAATTTCCAGAAGTTTATTTTCTTCTCATCCCTCATAACTCTGGCATAGTTAAAGTTGGATTATTATCTTAAAATACTCATTTATTTTTATTATTTTTATTTTTATACGTATGAATGCTTGCTTGTGAGAATGTGAACCATGCGCATGCAGCCCCTGCAGAGGCCAGAAGAGGGCGTCAGAACTCCTGGAACTGGAGTTATAGGTAGTTGTAAGCAGCCACATGGTGCTGGGACCTGAACTTGGGTCCTCTGGAAGATCAGTCAGTGTTCTTAATTGCTGCACCATCTCTCCAGTCCTTAAGGTTGGCATTTTTGGGTTTTTTTTATTTTTTATTTATTTATTTTTGTTAGCTTTGCTCCAGATCCTGGGACACATTGGTCAATCCTTCTCCTGTAGATGCCTCTTAACTTACTTCCTCCTGTTTACATGGGAGGCAGCCCTGACCTACCTGACTACGGGAGAGTAGGGCAAGGGAGGACTCCAGCCTGCCTAGTGTCTGCCCCTTGCAGGATCTCACTGAGCCCTTTCTCTTCAGCATCTCAGCACACACTCACTCCCAGCTCTTCAACTCCAGCCTTCCCAGTATCCAGGTGTTAAGGAGTCCAAGTAGGTGTTGGGCAAGTACTTTCGAGTTTTGTCTTTGGGGGCTCTGTGCTGGACACCTGGGCTCTGGCATCTCACTGCCTCCAATTCCTGTCTCATAGCCAAGCTCACTCGCTGCCACCCAAGGGATCTTGTTAAAATGAAAACCTGAACATGTCACTTCCCTGCTCAGAAGTCATCAATGAACCCACAGCGTTGGTGAGGAGGAGGGGACCCGGGCACGGCAATCTGAGGCTGGGGAGTGTAATCTGGAACCTCTAGGCATTATCTGTTGAGATTCCAAATGCACGTGTCCTGTGACCCAGCATTTCTACTTCCTGAAAATTACCCTGCAGATACACTCACGCTGGCAGAAAATGATGTATGTGTGAGGTTATTCGTGGAAGCACTGTTCATTGTAGCAAATGATTGGAAACAGGGTACGTGTCCATCAGGAGGGGACGGGTGAAATAAATTTCAGTATATCCATAACAGGCATTAAATAAAAGAATGAGGGCACTCTTGGTGGACTGATATGGAGCCATCTTCAAGATGTATTGTTAAGCAAAGCAGCAAGCTATGTGTATGGTGTGTCTATAGCTACCTTCCATGTAAAGCAAAGAAGATAAACACACATGCCCTATTTCCTTGTACATGCATAGCACAGCTCTGCAAATATCCACAAGAAAATTACATTGGTTGCCTTGGGGACACAGGCGAGGTGGCATGGGGACCAGACGAGGTGCAAGATTGCTGCTAAATACTCATTTGAACTTTTTGAATTTTGAACCCTGAGATGTTCTATCTATTTTCAAAATGACTTAATGTTTTTCAAGTGAAGGAGTCTAAGATTGTCCAGGCTGCACACACCAGCCATTTGCTACCTGTGGGGCTGCGGTGGCTGGGGACAGGGAGTGGAGCGCTTTCTTCTAAGCGTTTCTTTAATGTTTGAATGTTTTCCTGAAATGTACTGCTCTTGCAAGGAGGTAAGAATAATGAAGATATTATGTACAAGAGAACACAATTAAACTGAGCTCCTAGACTACATCCCTCCCTCTCCTCCCCAAACCAAACAAAACAAACACATGAACAAAAAAAACCAAAGCCAGATCCATCACATACACCCCCACACATTGCCCTTAGAATCAACTTGAGCTCCTGAGCCCTGCCAGCCTGGACATGTTGTCTGCCCATGTCCCCACCCCTAGCTTTCACCCGCACCATGCCCTCTCCCTGGGTGCTTTCCCTCGCCTCTCCACCTATGTTTTCCTGTTGGATATGTCAAATCCTAACTGTACCAGTGAACGCCTACCCCGCACCTACAGTCCCATGGGCCTTGCATGGCATCCGATGGCTGCCCTGAGGCTGATGTCGTGGCTTCCTCCTATACCTGGGCAGTGAGATGTCCTGTCGGAATCATTGTCAGCAGCTCTCCCTGGTTGTGACTTCAGCTTAGTCATCTGCCTCTCTGAGCCTCTGTCTTCTCTCTCCCAGGGACCTCAGAGACTCATCACTGCCTAAGCTCGGAGTGAGTGAAGCTGCGGATGGTGGGGGCTGCGTTGTTGCTCAGTGGTTCATGTGTGTGTGTGTGTGCTTGTGTGAGGGGTAAAGAAGGAAGTGTCACTTCATCTTTCTATCAGATCAACAGCTGCTATGGGAGCAGAGCTCAATACACACCTGAAAGGAGCTCCTCCAAGTTCACACTCGGGACCCCAGATCACACCCAGATGACAAGGGGGCCAAGTTCAGACATGTGAGGTCCTTACGGGGTATAGACAGCTGCGCCTCCTGCCTTCCCTTTTTTCTCCTCTTCTTACGGGAGACTCTACCCACTTTTCTGTGCTCTGTCCTCTTCTTGCATGGCTGCCCACCCTCCCGCATCCCCAGAGTCCCTGCCTCCACATGCTCTGTGCTTCCTCAGCGTTGCTGGATCAGCAGGCTTGATGATCCACCATGGACTCTGCCTCTCTGGCCCCGCCCCCTGCCCCAGCCCCACCCCTCACCTGTCTTGGGGTCCACTGTGAAGTGATGCTCGCCGTCTAGCACGCTGTACACCAGCCGGGCGCTGCTGCCGTAAGTGGGGTCATCCGCATCAGAGGCCATCACCTGCATCACAGACGTGCCTGGGCCCGGGGGACCAAGCAAAACAATGGTCATACAGTGGCCACCTGAAGCTCTGTGGCCCTGTGCCTTCCCCACCCTAGGGAAATCATGAAAGGGGAGACCCTTGGGGAATCTACCGGGAGGTCATTGGTCAGCCACTTCACAGCTCTGTCCTCACACGGAAGCCCAACTTGCTTCCCAACCTATGGCCTTCGTAGGGACACACATGACCATAGGGTTATATCTGTATTTAAGTACCCCTTGGTTCCCAGAGGTAGGACTAGTAAGGGAATCCCAGTTTCTCCTCCAAAATGGGCAGAATGCCAGCTCTTGGTCTGAAGGGCAAGTGGGAGGGTGGATTTGATCTTCCCAGTGCTGTGCTGCTAAGGGCAGTCCCTCAAAGACAGAAGCAGAAGAACAGTCATTATCTCCATAGTCATGAGGCACAGTCAGAGTTGGAACTAGAAAGCACGCCCTGGGGGGCTTTTAGTCACTCCAGCCCCTCTGGATTCATTTTGGACGCTGCCACCTGTCTTCCGTCTCTGCGGCAGCAGAGAGAGTGGAAACTCAAACCAGCCCACCAGGCCTCAGAGGCTGGCAGGAGGATGGCAGCGGCTGACTTCCCTTTGGAAACTGGTTAGCCGTGGCCATGATGCCCTCTTGCCCCTCCCCCTGGTGCCCAGACAGCTCTGCCCCCGTCAAGTCACACACACTTTTCCTCATGCTCCGCACGTAGGCTGCTGGGGAGAGCATAAATTGGATAAAAGTCCATCAAACAGCGGCAATTAAGTTATTGATTTTCGACGCTGCCTCATTAAACTGGGAGCTTCTCTCGGCCTGTCCCAGAGATGGCTCTAATTTGACATCATGTTCAATTTGACGAAAGCAGGGCTTGGGACGTGAGGCTGGACCAGTGGGGGAAGGGCAGACAGAAAGACCATGGGAACCTTTCCAGAAAAAAAAAAATTAAAAAAGGGATGGGAGGAGGGGAAAGATCTGGAGAGAGCTTTGGGTGATCAGGACATGGCCCAAAGGGGAAGTGACTGAGGCCCTATGTCTGGGTGGTGTCCTCAGCTGGATGCCCTGTCGGGGCCTGAGTCAGACCCTCCTGAGGCTAAGCTGGGCTCTCTGGGCCAGCAGCCTGGCCTGCTGGAAGGTGAGGCCAGTTCACTGCTTGGCTAATGAGGGAGTCTGGAAGTGCTAGTGCAGCAATTCTGCAGAGCCCAGCCCGCTGCCTGCCTCCCCCGCCTCCAGCCCGGGGCCCTCCATCATTCCAGACAGACACATGTATTTATTTTTCACTCCTTTGCATTTCTCATTTTCCTCTCTGGGTTCCCCTCCCAGCCGAAGCCTCCTGAGTGGGCCCTGCAATGCGCCTCTCTTTGTCGGCCACAGCTCCCTGCCAACCACATCCAAGTCGCCCTAAGAAGCCGAAGCGAGAGGACAAGCCCTTCCCTGTGATGCTGATGACCATGGGTTGCCAACTCAGGGCCAAGGGCACAGTCCCGGTTGCAAAGGAGGGACGCAATGACTTCCTGTTGAACATCTACTGCATACGAAGGCACAATCCTCTTATCCCGTCTAAGTCCATATGGCATCTCAGACATGCATAACATGGTGGAGTTCGAATGCAGGACCACACTGTCAAAGCCCTTTTGAGTACTAGTGTCAGCACAGGCGCAGTGACTTTGCAGAAAGTGGTCTAGTGTGCTGAGCCTTAACCATTGATGGACCTTGATGTGAGACATGCCATGAACTCCTATGTACCTCAGCACCCTCCCAAGCTCTTGAGATCATGTTGAGAATACAAACCATTTTGTTTCAGAACCAAGAACAGCACCCAGCAGATGCTAAGACCCTCATAACTGCAGGTGGCTGTCTCAGGAGGCCACCTCAGGCTGTGTATAGTGATGCAGCCAGGCCTCCCTTACAGAGACTGAGAGGGATACATGAGGTGTCAGGCTTGAGATGGGTGTTCGGTAAACAGGGCTGCTGTAACCGTTCCGAGGCAAAGCCACCCTGTCTCCTCCCTGCCTGTTCGTTCCATTCCACCGGCAAGTCACAATGCCGGGCTGAGTGACTCCCTGGGGACATGGCTGAGCTCACTCTCTCTTTCCCTGACTGCATCCCAGGGATTCCCTCAGGGATGCCAGCATCATTTCCCCAATCCGGGATTCTTTATGGCAGCCATTACAGTTAATGCCAACACACGAGGACGGTGAAGGGTCAGTGATTCATCGCAGCTCCCCCAGGCCCTGACTTTCTTACACCACACCCCCTTCCCACCAGTGAGAAGTTCCCCAGACCTGGCAGACAGAGGGTGCCAGGCTGGAGGTTGTTGTAAGGTCACCTTGGGATTGTCCCTAAGGTCAATGGCCATAGCTTACAAAACACCGTCATGCTTCTTCTGTCTTTCAGACCACATGTTAACTGTGGCACCAATGCAGGGGTGGCTAGGGAGCAAATCTCGCTCTCTGGATTTTGTGTAAGCGCTCATACCATGCCCCAGCATCAAACCACCGACATGGTGTCAAATGGCCTACAGAATTTCTAAATAAATCAGTGTGTAGCTCTTGTGAGTGGCAACCCATGGCCATATTTATTACTCAGCAGTAGTGGTAGCATTACACACAGAGAATATTTGCTTCATACCACCTACTGTGCTGTGAGCTCTTTACATACATCATCACATGTATGTAAAGCCACACAAAAGCCTTACAGTTAGACCTGTTAAGATCTCCAGAGCCAGATCACCAACAACACTCAAAGGGGAAAGACGGGGGGGGGTTACCCCGAGCCTGAGGCCGGGCAGGACTACAGAGTGAGGTCCCATTTCAAGAGACAAATAAACAAACAAGCCCGCTTTACAGATGAGTAAACTGAGACTGAGTTGGGTGATAAACCTCTTTACCTCTTACTGCCTCCGTTTCCTCATTTGGGTGACAGAATTTAAGAGTACTTTCTGCCCAGTTGGGATCCTATCGAGAACGCAGATTGCCCTGTTCAGCACCAAGGACAGTTCAACCCCCCAAGTTCAATTGGCCTGCAAATCTGTGAGGCAAGATTTAAACGCAGAATGGATCTATGCCCAAACTCATGTGTTCTGCCATTCAGGTAGAAGGAAGGGATTGACAGAAGTTGAGATAAATCAGTAAGCAGAAGAGGGAAGACTCTGAGGAAGCAGAAGGGAGGAAAGAGGAAAGGAAGATGGAAGTGGGATTCAGGTTTTCCAAGTCAACCTGTCCCGACAGGCCAGCCTGGGGAGAAGGGAGGGCTGCTGTCCAAGGTCCTCCTGCTAGAGAACTGCTTAAGCGCCTAAGTCAAGGACTGGACTAGGAAGGGCCACCTGCCTGATTCTTGTATAAACGGTATCTCAGAGCTCAGGTATTCATGTGGAATGTTAAATATGGAAAGTCTGGTCTCTAGAGAGCACAGACTCAGCCTGGCCGCCCATTAGAATCCTCTGGGAGCTTTAAAATAAAACCGACGCTGAGCCTCATCCCTGACCAATTAAATAGGACTTTACGGGTGGAGCCCAGGCAAGGGCATTTTTTACAAGCTCCCTGCAGGGCTCAGAATGGATGAACGAACCATGGACCTCACCCGTGACTGAACCAGGAAGGAAACTGAGTAAGAGCCTCAGTCATTTCTGATGTCATTTCTCCAGTACACAGTAGGGAGCAAGTCCAGTCCACACCTTCCTGGCCAGGATGTCACCCTCCAGACATACTGAATCTGCACTGAAAGTGACATCAGAAAGAACAGCAGGTCTGCCTTGTTGTGCCCCTAGGTCCTCAAAGTTCCTCCTTGCTGAGGTCAATGAGAGAAGTGGGACCTTCTAAGGGACGATGTCCCTCACACTTCCACGGAGTGTAGGTAGGCTCTGGCACCACAGCCCTGGGTCACATCCCAGTATGTCCTCACCCTTACATGCCAAGCAAGTCTTCCTTCTGTTTGGCCTGTTTCCCTCTGTGTAATTTGAGACTCTGGGGTTTAGAGGTGATGGATTTAAGAATCTAGTGGGCCAAATGTGTTGTGTGTGCTTCACTGGGGCTCATTTGCTGTTCTCTGGGCAGCCAGGAGGCACTTAGGGCTATGTTCTTGGCCCTAAGCAGGAGATCTCTGGACACCAACACCAGAGAGAGGGGACCCAACTGTGATTCATCTCTGATTTATCCCAATGGCTCTGATGTCATTTATTCTGGCTAGTCTGTTAACACAGGCTAGATTAACATGGGTTACAGGAGGCCCCACCCCGCAGGCTCCTGGAGAAGGTGGTGCTGTGTGGGGTAGAGCTGGAAGGAGCTCTCGCTCCAGCTCTCCCCTAGGTACCTCACATGGCTGCAGGACCCCCACCTCAGAGATTTCCCATCTGTAAAGAGTCCATGATATTTTATCCCTCATGCATCCAGGTTGTGGAGACCCTTTAATGAGATTAAAGAGATTAAGTGCTTTGACAAAGCTCAGAGTCCTCCCCTTGCTGAGGCAACCAAGTGTCATTATTATGAAGATGTTTCTAATTGTCGTCTTACAGCTTCTTCTTACCTCCTCTGCTACCCTGCTGGGCCCGGGGGATACCCTGGGCTCACATTTAGCTTCTCCAACATTTATAAAAACAGAATCCCACCCCCTGCTGCTGCCAGCACTACGTGGAACGCTTTCTATGAAAATTTAAAAACCACTTGTCGAGTCCCTGGGAACACTCAGATTACACTGGAAACAAACCCCTTCTCCAACTCCGCCCTCCTGCCTCCTCTCAGCTCCCTCTCGGATCATCACTTATAATGTGGGCTGGTTGGGCTGGTCCTGACCTTGCTTCTGGCTGCCCAGCTGGGGCGTCCTAATGTAGATGAATGATCCACAGGGGATACCCGGCTTTGGCTGCAAGGGAAAGGGAGGTTGCAGGACAGAGGAGGAGGCCAGTGCAGAGAGCAACAGGGGAGGTGACACAGAAGAGGAGGAGCAGGAAAGTGGGTCAGGGGGGAGAGATGAGGGATGGATACTTAGGGACCCAAACTGG